TTGTACTGACACCAATACTATCTCCTAAAAAATATTTTACTTATTGTATTTTTATATACACATTTTTTTATCATATAATGTTATATCATATTTTTATCTTAAAAATAAAAAATATTTTTTTTTAAAATCAAACAGACTTTTAATTTTTTTAAAATATAAGGAGCGTCTCACAGTTATTTAATAATTCTATTATTTTTAAAAATGCTTACTGTAATATAAGTGAATTTAAAAAAGCATTATATATTTCTTTAAATAAATAGTTATAATTTTTTAATATTTTAAAAATTAAAAGATATTTATATGTTTTTAAATAAATTATTGATTTTATTATTTATTAATATAAATTGACGTAATGATTGTTTCACGCTTCGTCTTTGATTGACAAGAGAAATTACCATTTTAAAAACCGTACAATCCTAAGTGTAAAGTAATGTCACTTCGACTCGGATTTGGGACCTAAAAGCAGGAGAGCCCAGACAAAAGCAAACACCTGAATGCATTATTTAACACCAAGTGCGTTTAAAATAAAATATCCCCTATCTATATGTCTGATTATCATCTATTATACTGTTGACCACTGGATAATAGTAAATGGCCTTAAATATAGTTTTTTTTTTAATTATGTCGTTCTATTTGGTCTTTTCATTTTTTTATTGAGTCTCTAGAAATTATTTTTATTTTTATATAATTATTTTTTAATAATTTATAATTTTGTTTTGTTGTCTTGAATTAGGCCATGTAATTTCATTGAAATATTGATGTGCTGTTAACATTATTATATCTTTCTTTAATAAATTTTTTAGCTATAAAGTTAAACTTTTTAAAATCAAGATTTGAAAATATAAATAAGGTAAAGGTACATATAATATAATATAAATAAGAATGATAAACATTTTGAAATTTTATTTAAAATAAAAAATTATTCATATATGCTTATTAAAATACTGTGGAAAAATTTTAGACATTGAAATGGTTTATGAATTATTTTTTTTCAAGTATTCTCATCTAACAAGTGAGAAATAAACTTTCAAGTTATGATCAAGTGGCAGAACAAGAGTTTCTTCTCCAATGATATATATTTTTTTTCGTAAATTTTATGATTTAATTGGTGATTGCATGCTTAAATGTTTTGAACTTCTTCCATTTGAATCAATACTATGAATTGGTGGAAGTCACTTTCAAGTTTCAATCACTAGTTTGGGCGCAACAAATAATTTAAGAATTTGAGAACGTTCTAAGGATATTCTTAATTAGGCCTTGAATCGTGATGACTGCGTTGAGACTTCCCATTAATTTGATTTGTTAATTATTATTCATGCAACTTTCTCAAATATTCACACTTACATCTATTTTTATCAAATTTGAATTAAGGATCGTAATTAAAATAAAACCAATGGATAATTAATAGAAATTACCAATAATGAATAAGATATTTATCCAACAAATGAGTCTAGTATAAATAGCTATTCAGAATTTTGTTATGAATATTAACTATATCTCATAATATATTTTATAGCTTAAATTTAATATTTTTTTTAGAAAATAGATTATATTTAAGTATTATTCCAGTTAAGTTACAACATTGAATGCTATCATATTCACGTAATTAAAATACAAATATATTTAGATAAAAGTATTAGTACGTAGAGATACTCATCGAGTAATGACCCAAATATTGTAAACTTTTTCTTAACTAAAAGATCAAAAGTGATAGAAAGACTGAAGATATTTAGTATGTTTTTTCATTGCTACGTATAAGTTTAAGAAAAATAGGACAATGCTTTATTTTAAGGTGAGAAAGGTTATTAAATTTTAAAAAATACATAAAAGACTTACACTTAGACTCACATATGTTATGATAGTAGATGAAAGTCCATACCAAATAATTAAAATTTTTAGAAAGGTCTGTTAAGGAAATTTTCATTAGGCTAACAAATATTGTATGACAGTTCCGATGATCCGATACAGAAAATATTATTTTATTAGGATACTAAAATTGTTATTTTGTTCTGTATGAATAATTATAATTTGTGTATTTAGAGACAATAGATCATTATTGCTAGGGCTCGAAGTTGGACCATATCATATTGGACCACATACTAGGGCTCGAAGATCAATCTATTTGCTAACACAAAAATTGTTAGGCTTATCTCTTGTTAAAATAGTTTTTGTTCGACAAAAATTAATCTATTAATATTGACAACGTGTTTTTGAAAAATATTTTAATTTCTCATGTCTATTAACATACGAAAGATTATAAAATTGAGTACTTTTTCTTCTAAAATAAAGAACATTTGAAAATATATAATGGCTTCCTTCCTTATAAATAGAAACCAAGGGAATAAGAAAATAAATTCGAATATTGACGTGAGAGTGAGGCTTTAATGTTCCACCCACTGATATACGATGTTGGTACTTCAGATCCTGACCTAAGCCTATTTCACTGCTTTCATAATAGAAACATACAAATTATGAAATAAAACTCCCCTTGTAAATATCAATTTGATTGTTACTATATTTTGGACTTTTGGGGTCGAAAACTGAATATGCTGGAAAAATACAAAAAAGGGTATCGTTTTCTCGACCATAATGATGGGTTCATATGGAATTATACAAGCCATAAGGTTAATGACCTACCAATAGTCCATTAGAACACGACAAGGAGATTAAGGCTAGTTGCTATCATCTACCTTTATGTCGAAAGGGACATGTGTCAAATAGTGGCACGTGGCTCCATCTTGTTGCTGCATGTACTAGATGATGGGATATAGTGTATACAGTATGGTTTTAGTTCTTGTTGCATCTTTGTCCATAGCTTCAACTTAATTCCATTTTTTTAATTATTGAGTTTTTAAGTATCCCACAAGGAAGCATCGTTCTGAGTCATGGGCCCAAGAAGCCCATCCACCCTCCATGCTCATGCACAAAACCAAAATGGTAGAGTTTTAGAAATAGGTTATGTTGACTCTAAAAAAGGGCTCCCACAATAATTAAATGAATAAAGCATAAAGTAGAAGCGTTTCTGAAGGGACTAAGTGAGAGAGACGGGTAATTGTTTTTATCAAAAAAGATAAAAAGCAAGATGATAAATTTAAATCCTTGGCCTCCATCACCAAGAACAAATCACTGTATCATTGTATCATTGTTTGTAACAAAGAGACTCACGGTTCCTTTAATAGCAGGAAAGAAAATGATAAAAATGAAAAATAGAAGATGAGAAGAAAGGAAAATGAATTAATTAATTTTTGTTAGTAGATCAATGGATTGTCATTTGTCGTATGTGACACAAAACCAGTGATATAAAACTTTGGCTAAATACGAATAATTTTGGTCATTTTACTTCTGGTGGAAATTATTCCTGAAATCAAATATCGGATGCACAATGCATGTTTCCTTTTCAAGAATATGTGATTATTAGTAAAATGACGTGTTATTATTCGTAAATATAAAAGAATGTACTCTAATTTACTACTATTTATGGTTTTATGTTAATAAAATAAAATAATTGACAAGAAAAGTACAACTGCATTTAAGCAAACTGGACAATGTTACAGAGCTGAGATTCATACGATAATGACTCATCTTTTATCTTAGACGGTACGATGACTCATCTTTACAAAAGGTTAAAATCGTAAAAAAAATAATAATGAGATGCATTAAAAAATATAAATATGAAATATTATTATTTTTAAAATTTTTCACAAGTATCTTTAGAACATTTATTAGCATTTTTCAAAAGAATAATAAATGCGCTTCGTTGTCATTGATTTTTCTTGTGTTATTTGATAACCGTATTTTCCTTCCCTTTTGTTGTAGGAACTTTCATTTTCCGATCAGTAAATTATCGATTAATGTTATCATCCTTCAGTTCTTTTTCATTTCTGTATAAAACTACGGTTCTAAATTATTTTAATTTCTACATTAACTCAGCACAAAATAATAGTATCCTAGGCACTAAAATAGGACACCAAATTGACTTTTCTTTTTATTCTAAAGCATAAAAACATGATCAACTAGGATAGAAAACGGACTAGGATAAAAACACGGCACAAGTTGGTTTTTCCTTGTTAAATGAAGATATAATAATAATATGTTTTGGATAAATAATCACACTGCATTACATATAACTTTTGAATGTCGTTAATCACCCTAAACTTTGTATTATCACTCCTATTCAAATAATTGATTAAATATCTTTTTCGTGTTGGTTAAGAAAATTAATAATAAGAGTATGAATAATCATTTTTCTCTTATTTTGTGTTGGAATGGATTTTAAAATTTCCGAACAAATTTATGGTGCCTAACATTTTGTCTTACGTTACAAAGTCTGGAACCCACGACATGTATGTTTCATTTGCGTCAATAGACTTCTTTATTAAATAATATGGGTACTCTCTTCTTAATCACTTGTTAGCCGAGCATGACATACTGGTACTATACCACTTTATCTATCAAGATCAGCTTAAATAAAACTGTAAAACGTGTAAAAAAAGAGTATATGAATTCAAATCTTGCGACACACTTCACTCTTCTTCTCCTCGTGGAGTCTTATGTGCGCTTCTCTCAAAATCCATCACTAATGGATCCTCTCTTAAAAGGAACCTCTTAGTTTGAGCATGGTTTAGACCCTCAAGTCATCAACAAAGATATCCGTTTATCCATAAGGTCCAACTCAAGTGGACCTTTTGTGACAAAGGCAGAAGATTGTTTCCCGTTAGGCCCGTTGGCCATATTTTGTATTGCCTTGGGGCCTTTCCTTGGCATTTGTTTGCTAACCAAAAGCAGAATCAATATTTGAAGAGGGTAAACTCGCACTATCCATTACTCTTTGTACATCATTCATGAATATTACTTAAAGTTCGAATGGAATAGATTGCATATGATTAGCATCAAGAACAGGGATATTTTCTTCTTTAAAAAGGTCTTAATATTTATACTATTTGCACCATCCAAAAACCAAACTATTATGGATATACTTCATTGTGTCCACAACCAAAAACAGATGGCAAGATACTACACAGCGATCACAGGTACCACAAGTACAGGATAAGAGCTGGACCAGTCTGAATGTAAGGTCAGACCGAAAAAAAGGATGCCAAGAGTAATGCACTGTTTATGATATTTTTGCTCTCGTGAAGTCCATCTCCGGATGCTGCAAAATATAGACAGTGATCAATCAGTCAATCAACTGATAATAAGTAATCAAATGGGGCAAGTCAGCAAGAGAGTCAGGAATCAACCTCCGCCATAAATTTCTTCATAATTTCCTGCTTCTGAAGCTCATCACTGGTAGGAAGGCCCATAGATTTCTGCCTCTGATCAAACTGTATAACAGTATAAGAGAAAGTAAGTCAACTAGCAAAGAAACAGCCTCAGATCTAGGCAATGGCATTAGATGTATATATATCTTAAAAGGCTATATTAAAAACCTTCATCCTCATGATCGGAGGCCTGACATTCAGGTTACACACATTCAATAAAGTAAGACATCTTCGTTGAATTACAAGACATAAAACCAGAAGCAACACATTAAATAATAATTCAATATGACAGCATTTCTAACAGTTTTATACAAAAAAAATGAATGTGTGGATACAAAAATATCAAAAGGACCTTAGGAAATGATGAAGATTGAAGACAGACTAAAAAACCTCAAGTTATATAACCAATTAAAATAAATAATAGAATTAACTGATTACCATCATTTTTTCAACAGTCTGTCGAGTCTCAGGATCCAGGTCAGAAAGTTTGCTGTTCTCTGGTTCAACCTTTTGAGTATCAATTTGGGGATCACCTTTTACCAGACATTTCCACCATTCCATCTGATCATGCTTGGTCAAAAGAATAGAAATTGCACTCTGATCCTCTGCAAAATAGGTTTTGATGTAATGGGTAAGATATGAAGAGGTGATGACTCCTCATCAGTAAACAAAACAACCCGAAACCACACCCTGAAAATTAGCTCATGCATGCACACAATCAATGCACATGATCCACTCACAAAGATGCAAACTCAAATTTTGGTGTATCAAAAAATCAAATTGACTGATATGCCAGTGCATTATTGTCACTTCAAAGATGATCTATTGTTCCAAGTAGTCCAGTACCTATGCTCCAATAACAGTCATCAGGCTTGACAGGTCGGTGCAACTCCCCCTGAAAATTTTCAAAATCATGTAAAGGCACATTCATAACATAAAATCAAAATAAGAATAATAAAGTATCAATTAAACTCATTATATCATCAATCAGAAAAATAACTACCATTGTAGAATATATCTTTAATAATGAATGATAAAATAAGGCAAACTGACCTCAATAATTGGCGGTTGCCCCTTTAGTCCAACTTTTAGATGGTTCTTCTTTATTTCACAGATGACAAACCTTGATTTGGTTCCATTTGGAACTGGAACATTTACGTTGACCTCCTGAAGAGTCTGAGTCCAAGAATATTTATCCAAATCCAGACCATTACCTTTGTTTGGAACTGTACAGATATTGAAACAGATACCAAGTTAATCAGTAGTCAAACAAATATAAGGTACTTTTGATGGCACGACGCACGACATGTAAAACAGCACAATGCAAGTAGCTGAGCCATAACACAACTTTTTGTTCTATTTGATGTTTGGTGGTTGATGCACCACACAACCAGGGGAACAAAAAATTTTCCAATTGAGGTCGCAGAGGAGAGGGAAAGAAAGGAGGGTTGGAGTAGAGAAGATAGCTCATGGAAGAGGGCTATCAAGGAGAGGAAGTAAAGGTTTGGTACTTCTGAGATTTGTCTATTGAGCATGGTATAAGTAGGACAAGAAGTCATCCCTTGATTAGACTTTTGTCTTGTACTTCAATCTTTTATGTTATCTACACCTTCAGTTTTTCAGAAATACATAAATATGCTATCGATTATTTCTTTTTGTAGCAATTTGCAAACATTTAAAACAACTGAATTCATAATTCTAGTGATCAGTGATCACATAAAAAAATAACCCAGCCCATTAACTTCTACACAATATCATTCTACCTCACTAATTGTAACTCACACAAATTTAAAGGCAGGTATTTAAACAAGGGCTGCATTTATAGGCATTCCTCTAATTTTTTGTGGAAAATGTTCACGATTGAAGGTAACAGAGTCCTCGAAAAGCACTCACTCCAGTAAAGGCCAATATAATCAGCAATAAAAAATGGATCATATGAGCAACCATGGTAAAAAAAAAGGGGAACTCAAACCAATGGTTAGAAGTTAGAACTCAGAATCCACATATATAACAGGCAAGGAATTGCCTCACACATTCATGAGAAATAAGGCTCAGGGACAGCGAGCGTTTGCGCCGGTTTAAGGACATTTTTGAGGAATAAGAAAAAAAATCTAAAGTCCATGAAAATGTTAATATCATTATGCTAAAAAAAAGGAACGACTAAATACTCTAAATGGTCATCAATTTAGTCCTTCAATGTATCAAAGTAAGAATTTGATCCCTCACTAGTTGATTATTATAAATGGATACCTATCATCCCAACCCAAATCAACTTTATGCAATCCACCAAAACCAATAAACGATCTACAAGCAATGAATTACTGTTTCCGAAATCAAAACAAACAAAACGCTTATTGTTACCAACAAAATCACCTTAGCGCAAACAAAAGAGGGGAGGGGCAGGGGGAAACAAAGAACGTTAGGGCAAACCACAATTGCACATTGGAAATCTCAGAAATCGTTTCTATTCCTTTACCTATGGAGCCACTTTCCTCTCTGTTAGCCTCCTCCACCTTGAGTTCCTTCTCTTCCTTCAACCTCTTCTGGGCCTTTTCCCTCTCCTCAGTGGCCTTAAGCTCGTCTCTCTTCTTCTTCCCGGCTGCGCGCACCAGCGACGCTATATCCTTCTCGGCGGTCTCCGACGACAGAAAGTCACTCTCTCGGGAGATGAATTCGAAGACTCGCTCAAGAAAAGCTACGGGATTGGATGGGTCGAAACTGGAAGTGAACGAAGACGAAGACGAAGAGGATTGGGATTGTTCGGGTTGTTCTTCATGGAAATCGGAGATAATGGCCATACCTTAATGCCGAGTTAAGAATTGGGTTGGTTTGAATTCAAAGTTTGGAACTGAACCCAATTGAACTGAACTTTACAAGATAGCGAAGCAAATGAGGAGTGTTCGATTGTTTATATATACCAACGTTACTTCGCGGATATTCTCAGTTATTGCATCATAAATACTATTGATGCTATTGTTATAATAAATTTGAAAACTAAGGGAAATATTAATAGTTATTGTATTATATATAATTTTATTTATTTTATTCTTTTAAAAATAATATAAATATTTAATGTTGGATATTTATAATGGAATTAATTTTTTTTAAGAAATTAAAGAAAATAATTAATATTGAACTATATAAAAATTATTGATTTTAAAATAAAGAGTCAAATATATTTTATAAATATGAATTTAAAATAATAGTATAAAATTATTTATTTATTATTTTATATTATTGTTTTTAGATCTAATTGTATAAAATTTGTTTGTTTTTAAGACCTATAAATTTAATTAAATTTTAATTATTTAAAAAATAAAAGAGATACTAATAATGCAACATTTTAAAGGAATATATATATATATATATATATATATTCAGATACATAAATATTTTAAAATATTTTTGAAAAAATAACCGAATTTGTAAAGTATTATATTGTATTAAAAGTCTATAAAGACTTAAATTTTGTATTAATTAAATAAATAATTTATTTTAAGTAAATTTTAATATTTTTTATTAAATATAATAGAATTAAATGATATGAACCTAATTATATATATGCATATTAATTAATTATTAAATACTGTATTTCAGTTATATTAAATAAAAATAAATTACTTAACTAATAAACACAGTATTTATTTAATATTAGTTTTACCCATTTAATATTTATTGTATAAAATAACACAACAAAAAAATATAAAAAGTATTAAATTTTATTTTGAATATTTTACTTGTATTTATTAAAAAATTAGAAAACAAAACTTGACCTTTTAAATTAAATATGTTTTAATTTAGGCATATTCTTCCTATTATAATAATGACACTCAATTTTGCATGGCTTTTTTTTTTTAAATTTTATTTTTTTAGATATAAAAATTACCAAATTCAGGATGTTCATTGTTAGAGAGTAGGTAAAAAATAATTATAAAAAAGTTACCAATTCTTTGTATGCATAATTAATTTTAGAGGTAAAACATTAATTTCATATGATTTTAGCATAAGTACAATTTGTTAATGTTTGGTTTGTTGAACTTGTTTATCTTAGATATGAAATTTAGATTCGTCTTCATCTTTATATTTTGAAAGCAATTTAATTTTTATTATTAAATTAATTTTATTTTTTAAAAATTCCATTCAAAGAAATTATTTCAAAATTCAAAATTATTGGACTCTTATAAAATCATTATTTGAACTTGGTGTTATATAGGTTGCAATATCAATTTTTTTCTTATTTATTTAGTTAAAATGAAAATATTAATGATTTTATATATCAAATTTTTTATATTAATATGTGCTATTTATTTGGCTAATAAAATAAAATATGAAATTTATATTTTTTACTTAAAACAAATTGGTAACTGTTGTCAAATAGATTTTATTTAATAATTAAATGCAAATAGATCCTTATACATAGTAGGGGTTGTAGCTCATATGGTAGAGCGCTCGCTTCGCATGCGAGAGGCACGGGGTTCGATTCCCCGCAGCTCCACACAGTGTGTTACGTTTTGTTCTGTGCACCAAATTCCCAAAATTGTGAAGTTGTATGATTACACTTGTAACATCTTTAAACCATGGTGGCTCCTACCTAAACTCTGAATGTCTGAGCTTTAGAAAATTTAAAACACCCTTAATTTATTGATCTTATCGTGTTTTTATTCTTTTCATTTTATTTGAATGAGCTCTTTGAAATCATGTTTAGGCCCCATTATAGGCTTTGGTGGTTAGAATTGTTTGATTTAGGATAGGATTACGAATGTGTAATGAATTAAAGAAGAAAGTAAAAAAAGAAAAAGAAAAAATCATAGCAAAAATAAAAGAATTATTTTGCAAAAATAGTACGTATATAATTTTGGGAATTATTAAAGTTAACAAAATTATGTAGCCTAGTGTTCTTAAACTTTTCAAATTATGAGGAACTAGAGAATTTTTTATTATTTTTTTGTTTATATGAAAGTTTGTATATGGATGGATTAACAATTGATATTATGTTGAGATATATCTTGTATGAGTTATGAATATGATGAAAATACTCTTAATAATCTTATTTATGTGAGCTAAGTTTTATAAGTATGTTAGACTCAATTATTTAATATATTATTATAACTTATTCAATTTGAATGAATGTTAGATCACATGTAACTAATCCTATAAATTTTATGTACTAGACAGTCATCACTAAATGTGAGAATACTCATTCTAATCTCTCAAATTTTACCAATAACCAGTGGTTATCAAAATCTTTAGAACTGATGTCCTTTATCTTCGTTATAGACAAATTTTTAGCAACATGCGTATTTCATAATAAGATTTTTTATGCTATAAGCTTCAATATTTGTTGGCCAAATCAAAAGTATGTTTAATTAAAAGTTATTAAATGGTTTAAAGTCATATTCTCTCAGCACTCATACTGTACTCTATAAATATAATTTATAATTTATAAAAAAATTAAATGTGTTGCGAGTAAGTGGTCAGAATCACAAGATCTTGACTACCGAAAATTACTTCTTTAGAATATTAAAATAAGAATTTAACCTTATCAAGCGAAGAGTAAGGGTATATTATATACAACCTTCGATAATCTGAAAGTCCACAAAAGCATTGTTATTGATCAAAATCACAGGTGTGACTTGGGTTTAAAATTCGTTGCTTTTGTTTGTTTGCAATCACATAATTCCATAATTTTGCCGACCATCAACCATGTGATGTGCCTAGACCGTTTGGTTTGTGTTATATCCATGCTGCACATGATAAATACGATACTGTGCACGCACAAAATTAAACAATATAAAACCTTAAATAAATAAAAAATAGAGAACCTTATTAAAGAAAGTATAGAGCTCCAGCTGGCTCATGTGCACATATATAACATTGTAATAAGCTGAAGATTTATAACTTTTCACAAAACCTGTCTCAATAGCCTCTGATATTTTGATTCATCTGTTTAGTTTCCAGCAGCCTTGATCCATAATGTCAGGAAACATCCAATGCTATTTCTACGGCATCCGAATTCTTATTCTTTCCCAATCATCAGTCTCAAAGCAAGGATATTATTAATCAGTGTAGTGTATATTTGGTTTAATTAACTTGTTTCGAAATAAAATATTTTTTCAGCTTTTAATTTTATTTATTAGCGATTAGTATACTTGACCATGACAAAACACCTTATGAAAGAGAGAAACGGAAAACAAATATATGGAAGAACAAAGAAGGTGGAATACAAGAAGCTCTTGTCTGTCTACATTGTAAATGCAAACGACATAGATGGGCTCAGTTGATAGGGTTTCTCTGTTGGAACCTTTCTTTAATTGTATAATCATAAAACAGACGCAAGTAATTAATGTACAAGTATCACCACGGCTTTATCTTATGCATTTATCAGCCATGCAAATGCAACTGACACACAGAGCGTTGATTCTTTCCCTTGTGCAATGGTAAAGATTCTTCCACAGATTACGACACTTCCAATATTGTTACGCTGAACAGTTGGTGCTAATTATTATTTTTGGGAAAAGTTGCTTATATTATTTTATTATCCGCACTTGCACTTCCTCTTCAAGCTCCCTTTATTTTCTCTATATTATATATACCTAATACCAATATCAAGCATTGACTCACAAATATCCATGGCTTCTGCTGCAACCATTTCATCACCAGGATCAGAATCACCAAAGGTTCATGCATCGGACATTCCAAGCATCAAAGCCTTTGCAGAATCAAACGGAGGTTCCCTCATCCCTTCCACTTACCACTCTATCATAGACCCTCATGATGATGTTGCAGACGAACTTGCAGCTTCCATCCCAGTCATTGACTTGTCTCTCCTCACTTCACACGACCCTCAAATCCACGCCAAAGCCGTGCGTCAACTCGGCAAGGCCTGTGCAGATTGGGGCGTCTTCTTGGTAATTTTCCATTTCACAAAATTTCAATATTTTTCTTATTCGACTATATGAAATTTACGGTAAAGTGTCACTGCACAGCTTACAAATCATGGAATTTCGGAGAAGCTGATGGAGGAGGTGATGAACAAGTCTCTCGAGTTTCATTATTTACCTGTGGAAGAAAAAAAGGAGTTTGATGACAGTGGCAAAAGCCCTTTTACACCCATAAGATATGGCACCAGCTACAACCCTGAAGCAGAGAAGGTTCATTATTGGAGAGATTATCTCAAGGTTATCACCTCTCCTCAATTCAACTTCCCCAACAAGCCACCGGGTTACAGGTAAGCAAGAAAGTTAAGTTCAATAATCAAATCAACCCTATTAAAATTTGAACGTAGATCCAATCTAAGTTTGGGAGACAATGGGTAACAGCCTAAAATTTGTATCAATTTTTCATGATATTATGCATGGATATCTCATTAGTTTAAGTTCGAGAATTCCTCTATTCAATTATTTTCCTTCTTCTTGTAACTGGACACATCTGGATAGTTTAAGTAATTTGTTGATTTAAAATGCTTTAAAAATTTTAAACTTATAACCCTTTTGCTTAATTATATACCCTTCAATTTTTTGCTGATCCCCAAGGTGAGACTTCTATCCTCTACCAAATCCCAACACTAGTGTTTGGTGGCCTTACAGTGTTAATTTGTGCAGGGAGGTTGCGTTTGAGTATACTCGAGAAATAAGAGGTGTGGTGAGGAAGCTGCTTGAAGGAATGTCGGAGAGTTTGGGATTAGAATCCGATTCCATAATAGAGTCAACAGGTTTTGACCCTGGCTTTCAGGTCTTGGCCGTGAACCTATATCCACCGTGTCCTCAACCACACCTTGCACAAGGTCTGCCTCCACATTCTGATCAAGGCTTCATGACACTTCTCATGCAGAATGGAATTGGAGGGCTCCAGGTTAAGCACGATGGCAAATGGGTCAACGTGAATCCCCTTCCAAATTCATTAGTTGTCATAATTGCAGATCAAGTTGAGGTCACTCACTCACTCACTTTTTTCGCTCTTCTAATTGTTGAAATAGACCATGGTATTATGATCACATCTAAGAACTAACTCATCTTTAGTTTCCTGTGAGTTAGGTTTTGACTAATGGGAAGTATCCTAGTGTGTTACACCGAGCAATTCTCAACAACACAGACACTAGGATCAGTCTTGTGGTGTCCAATGGACCATCGCTAGATAAGGAAATTGGACCTGCGCCGGAGCTATTGGAAAACGAAAAGCCATTGTTCAAAAGCTATAAGTACCAGGAGTACTTCCACGCTCAACAGAAGACACGATTTGCTGATAAAAGTAGCTTGGAAAATGTTCGGGTTAATGTTGAATGACGATAGATATCTATCTATTTTGGCCTCGTCCTTTGAACAACACGGGATGAAAATTATCCTAATTTAAAGATTGGAGGATGGTTAATGTTAAAGGTGTTACTTGTGTGATGTGATAATAATGCTAACTTATAATAAAACTATCTGTCCTAATGACATTTTGGGTTATTTTCAATTTGAATGATGATTTCTATGTGTTTTTTTAATGGAGCAGTACTTCTATGTATTCATTTTTTATTGGGTGGCTTTGAGCGAAATGATGCTTAATTGCCTAGAATGGCGTAGTGTTTTGGGTGAAAAAAATTTAAGGGAAGCAAACTTCGGATATTATTGTTCTTGCGATCGCCATTCCTATGCCGGGGCTGAGATGCAATTAATGACTACATTTGGAGTTGAGGTGGTTCTAAACTTACTAACTATGAAAATATTTAAGATTTGAAACAGAACATAAATTTTTAACAGAAAAAATTGAAAAAAGTTAATAGTTTGATTTTTTTAAATAATATAATAATAGGTTATGACTAACGGCGGAGTCAGGTGTCCTAAAATAGGAGATAGTAATCAACGAAGTGGAACAACTTAAAGCATAAATAGAGTTTGTCTATGCAGAATACTTTGTTGGTTGAGATAAAGTTCAATTAAGTAATTTCTAAAATTAAAAAAGGATTAACTTTGATTGTCTTTTTATATACAAAAAGGAAATATAATTCTATAGTATAAGATGTTGTTTATTTTAGGAAAATGTGTATAGGCTAACATGATTCACATCAACATAGGGACCTTGCCGAAATAGAATTTTTACGCAATGGTTTATCTGTTAAATTTTTTGATCTAGGCGATGTGGATGAAATATTAGAATCTAATTATAAGGTATGAGATTTCTAACATGGGGTTTAAAAGACCTTGTGTTCACTAATTGTATTGTGATTATTCCATAGTTCTTATCAATCCCAAGGTATGGAATTTAATTAGTAGGACCATTATGGGTGACTGTTTACTACAATCGTTGTATCAAACGGAAAATAAAACACCCAAATACTTAAAGCAAAATAACTCAGAAGTTACGGGAAGCTCGTGTGCCCACATTGAACAAGCAAACGACATATGGCTTTGTCACAATAAGCGTAAAAGAGACGTAACGCAAGTAACGTGCCGCCTCATCTTTTTGTGTTGTTCTACCCATGCAAATGTTTTTGTTCTTTCCCTTAAGCATTTGCAAATGTCCTTCCACAGATGTTGACAATTCCTATGTTAAGCTTACAATGTGCTGCTATTTCTTTAATTTCGGAAAAGTTTTTCACACTGTTTTTGAACACTGTTTTGTGTAGTATTGAACTGAAAAATTTTAGAATTTATTTGTTCTGTGATGAATTCAAATTGACATAAAAACTTTTTCATGATAAATTCAAAATTTTATTTGTTATGTGATGAATTTTGTTATGATTTAATTTACTTTAGACGAACATATCTTGAGATGTAAGAAGGGATTTTACAAAAAACTAATTTTATTTGAAATCTTACTTATAATAGTTTAATTGTGAAAATTTTTAGAATTTATTGTCGACTGCAAAATTTTAATAATTTTGTGAAGTTGATTGTTTTGTCTCACTCTGAAATTGAGGAGTCTACTTTAAATACTCTAAACTTAAAAATATTGTTTTCGAGTGAAAGTTAGCATTTAAATAATAGTAAGTTATAGTTTCACTATGATAAATATTGAAAATTTTTATCATAGGGACTGCTCCTGATGCTTGAAAATGTAAAACATAACTATGCTGAATATTTTAATATAGGTCAATCATTCAATCGATTTTAAAGGATTATAACCTGGACAAGAAAATTTCAATTTGTGTAATATTTAGCTTGTTAGAAAACTTGGAACCTTTAGTTTCTTTTGGTAAAATGTTTTTTCTTTATTCAGTTTGTATGGAGAATATTAAAGTGTTGGTATCTGGTAACAAGTAAATAAATACTTTTACCAAAAAAAAAAAACACAGAGAAATATGACATTATTTTTTTAAAAAAAGTGATAGATGAAGTACATGATCACGTGTAGTTATAAGAGTTTTCTTTCAATTCAATATTTGATAAGTTTTATGAGTAAATATTCACTTTACTCCATAAAATACGTAGCGTCTTTTAAATTAATTTATTAAATTTTAATTCATAAAATTAACAATTGTGAATTACACTAATCTTAATTATTAAGAAATATTAAAAAGTAAGTAATACAATAATAATATGTCAAGTTAAATTATACATGTTAGCTTATTTTAAAATATATATCATATTATAAACGATTTAATCAATTATACATATTATTAAACGTAATATATTAATATTTTATTATTATTTATTAACATTATTTAGATTTAGAGATTAATATGCCTAACATAAATAAAAGTTAAGATGACATTTTTAAAATTTAAAAATGCTTGACACTTATTGTCTTTAAAGACAAAAATAAAAGTTTAACTTATTATTATTACTACTATTATAATAAACTACAGTGTCTTTCGTTGAGATAATTTTATTTGAGTTTGGATAAAAGTATATAAATGATAAAATTTTCTCTTAAAATAAAAAATAATTTATTTTAACAAGGTGGTTTACACTGATTTATTATCCGCACTTGTGTGTGTCTATCTATATCTACACCTAATACCAATGTGACGCACTGACTCACAAACATACATGGCCTCTGCTGCAACCGTTTGGTCATCAGAAAAAGAAGCATCAAAGGTTCATGCATCGGACATTCCAAGCGTCAAAACCTTTGCAGAATCAAACGAATCCTCTTTCATCCCTTCCAGTTACCACTCTATAACAGAACCTGATGATGATGTTGCAGACGAACTTGCAGCTTCCATCCCAAACATTAACTTGTCTCTCCTCACTTCACACGACCCTCAAATCCATGCCAAAGCCGTGCATCAACTCGGCAAGGCCTGTGCGGAATGGGGTGTCTTCATGGTAATTTTCCATTTCATTAATTTTCAATATTTTTCTTATTCCATCATATGAAATTTATGGTAAAGTGTCACTGTACAGCTGACAAATCATGGACTTTCGGAAAAGCTGATGGAGGAGGTGATGAACAAGTCTTGCGAGTTTCATTATTTGCCTGTGGAAGAAAAGGAGGAGTTTGGTGACAGTGGCAAAAGCCCTTTCACATCCATAAGATATGGCACCAGCTTCAATCCTGAAGCAGAGAAGCTTCATTATTGGAGAGATTATCTCAAGGTTATCACATCTCCTCAGTTCGACTTCCCCAACAAGCCACCAGGTTATAGGTAATTAATAAAGTTCAATTATTAACTTAACTCTATTCACTTCAAGATTAAGTGGTATGCTTGTTTATAATGATTTAACCAATTTAGAACGGTAACCCTTTTAGTTATGTATCCTTTACACTTCGTTTGAGAGTTAGTTTTTGTAAGGTAAGAGAGGAAAATAGAAGAGTTATTTGATGATAATTTTTTAAATTTTTAGAGAAAAAAGATTTATAAACTTTATAAAGCCTTTCTAATTTTGTGTTTTAAAATTCTTTTACGAAGAATTTTTATTAACCCGCTTTCTTCCTTCTTTTTTTTTTTTACTTTAAAACTATTTCTTTCCCTCACTTTCAAAATTCCTAAACGAAGTTTTAATTGCTTCTTGAGACTTGTATCTTCTACAAATCCTGTTTGGTGAGTTAATTTTTTGTGCAGAGAGGTTGCATTTGAGTATAGTCGAGAAATAAGAGGTGTGGTGAGGAAGTTGCTTGAAGGAATATCAGAAAGCTTGGGATTAGAATCCAATTCCATAATAGAGTCAACGGGATTTGACTCTGGCTTTCAACTCTTTGCAGTGAACCTATATCCACCGTGTCCTCAGCCACACCTAGCTCAAGGGTTGCCTCCACATTCTGATCAAGGCCTTATGACACTTCTGATGCAGAACGGAATTGGAGGGCTTCAGGTTAAGCACGATGGCAAATGGGTGAACGTGAATCCCCTTCCAAAGTCATTTGTTGTATTAATTGCAGATCAAGTTGAGGTCGCTCGCTCACTCACTTTTTTTGCTCTTCTAATTGTTTAATTAGACCTTGGGATGATCTCATGTAACCCATGTTTTGTTTCCTCTGGGTTAGGTTGTGAGTAACGGGAGGTACGCGAGTGTTTTACACCGAGCGATTCTCAACAACACCCACAGTAGGATCAGTCTTGCGGTGTCCAATGGACCAGCGTTAGACAAGCAAATTGAACCTCCGCGGGAGCTGTTGGAGAAGGAAAAGCCATTGTTCAAAAGCATCACTTTTCAGGACTATTTCCAATTTCTGCAGAGGTCACGGTTATCTGACAAAACAGCATTGGACGAGATTCGCCTTAATGATTAACAATGATGTTCATATTTATCTATTGTGAATGTGGTTAATGCTATTGGCATGTGTTGGATGATTTGATAATTAGTGTTCACGTTTTGGTGTGGTTCTTTGTCGTTGATAAAGATTTCTTACCAAATTTCAGGGACTCGTGAGGAAGGATTTTAGCGAAAATGAACATTTAATTCTCACCCGCTGCCATGAAATGAATAGTTATCCGAAACGAAATGGGCAAATGATAAATTCCTTGAGTTTTGTATTTAGGTTTTCTCCTTCAAAATATTGCTTCAACTAATCTTTCCTGATATCTAAGAATAAGTTAATGGTAAATTGTTCCTAAATGTCGGTTAGTTTGCAAAATAAGAGGCTTTTGCTAATATAATTTATGCCCTGACTGTAACACAATGTTCCTAAATTGTTCCTAATATTTAGTTTTTTATTTTACCTTTTATATTTTTGCATTTTTTTAATTTTTTTTCTCATGGGTGTGACTACTGAGAGAGACTGCTGGGTTTTTTTTTTTCTTGCAAGGCTACAAGAGTAAGAGACACTAAAATAAAAAAATTGTAAAAATATAAATGCCAAAATAAAAAAAAAATATTTGACGGAATTAAAAATTTAAGAATATATATAAAAATAACTAGTAATATTTTTTTTAGAATACTCTAGACAATTCTGTTTTCAAAACTAATAATTTTTTTGTACACAACATGGATATTATTAAATTAAATTTAAAATGTTTAAATAAATAACCAAATATACTTTTTTAAAATTGAATTATAAATTTATAAAGTAAATATAATTACTATGAGTAGAAATCAAATTATTGCAAAAGTAACTATAATAAGAGTTACTTCACTTAATAACTATTTATAAATATTAGATTTTATCAATACAACCATTATATAAGATTATATGTTGATGTTAATCATGCAAATTTGTATTTACACTTTATATATAACAACTGATATTTACTTTAATTGAAAGTATAATTTTATTGTCAATTTAACGTGCTTGAAAAGTTTTGAATAAAAAGAACATGCGTTACATATAATAATTTAATATGTCATTTTTTAGTGTATTAGTTTTTTTTTTCTTTACTAGAAATTGACATGTAATGTATATGATATGCTATTTTTATGTACTGGTATTCAAATTTAAATTTTTAATTTTCTTTTCATATTGACCAAAATTTTAAACTAAATTAATTTTTTTTCTTGTTACAATGATTCAAATTCAAATTCAAAATTAAATTTAAAATTTTATTTTACTTTAACAAAAATTCAGAATTGAAGTTCAAATTTCAGTTTCTATCTTTGACCAATTGAACAATTTGAATTTTAAATTTAGTCTTTCGTCAAAGTGATACAAAAACTAAAATTTAAATTTTGAATTCAATTTTAATTAACATGAAAGAAAAATTTTAAATTTAAATTTTAAACATAAATTAAAATAAAATTTAAATTTTATTTTAAAATTTTAGTTAAATTAAAAAAGAGAAATTTAAATTTCTAATTCAAATATCAATACTGAAGAGTAATACAACGTATTTTAATGTCTAACATATGGAATAAAATGAAGATAGATAAAGTCTCAAAAAGTGATATTCATTACATTCTGGTGTGTGAGTCACATTAAAAACGTATCACTACTATAATGAAATATGAGATAATTTTAGTGTGTGACATTCTTTTAATGTAAATCTACATTAAAATGTGACATGTGTATGCTTTTATTACTTACATCTTTTTAGTAATTATTTTTTAAATAATATAATTTAAGTAAAGAATTTTTAAAATTGTATTATTTTCATAAAAGCATAAGTTTCACGTCTATTTTATTTTCATGACTGAGTTTTAGACTTATTTTATGAAGTTATGATAGGAGTTTGTAATCCTCGAACTTAGCTTGGAAACACAACTGAAAGAGCTCCTTATTTTGTCAATAAGGATTTGTTTGCTTTTGAAACTAAAATTTGTTGCTACAAGCTAATTTAGTTATTCAAAGTGGCCCAACCCCCAGCCCATTACCCTTATTTAAAAACAAATAAATAGATCATTGCTAATGGAACTTAATCCACTTCATGGGCAATCTCCATGGGCTACTTGAGCACATGTTTCAAATAACAAATAAATAAATAAAAATGGTAATTACAACTATAAAATTATCTAAAAGTGTGTTTTCTGTCTTAAATTTTAGTGTCATATCTTTAATTTAGCTAAATTAGTACGATTTAATTTGAAATATTCAATAAAAAATCAACCATTTAAATTTGTATTGGACAAAAACATGTTTGGTTAAAAAATAAAACAATACTTCTATTTTGTTTCATGCATGCAAAATATATAATAAAAGCGATCTTAATATATTATTATTTTAAAATTTAAAAAGTTAACATATGAAATAGACTTATGGACCAAAGCAATATCATAAGTTCTTTAATCTTTCTATTATTAATTATGAGAAATAACTTACCAACGTTACATATTCTTTTAAATAGTTATTCCTTAAACTACTATTTATTATTTTGAAGTTTGAATATATATATATATATATATATATATATATCATGTCAAATGTTAATAACAAAATAAAAATAATCAAATAAATTTATATTTTTAATAATTTAAATATTTAAATCATTAATATTTAAATATAATTTTTTGAATAAGTGTCATCATTTTTATCTTTGGCTTATTATCCTCAATTGATAATAACTTTTCAAATCAAGTTATCATAATTAAATATCAATTTATCTACAATACTTTCTTCATTATTTTTACATGTTCCTTTTAACAATCACTCATTATAATCATCCTTTTAAAAAAAAAAATCTACCACGTTATGACCTCAAAATATTTTTTAAGAACTTAGTTGTACTTAATCAAAATAATATCTTACAGCCTTTAATACTCAAGTTTATTTATTTTTTAAATGAATATATTTTAATATATATATATATATATATATATATTTCAGATTTTTGCTACTATTAAATCAAACAATTTAAATTGAAGTTATTTAACATTTATTTAAATGCTTAAGAAGATTTCAATTATGTTCATATCCAAATAAATTATAAGTCAAATTCAACACTTTAATAACAATATTTTGTAAATGTGACTAGGCTTGTTCTTGACCTTTTTAGGGCTTTAGGCAAAATAGAAAATTAGGTCCATTTCAAAAAAAATAAATATAAAATGTAATAAAATAAAATAAAAGCATATGTCAATAATTCTATTAAAATAATACAATTTTTTAAGTAAATACAATTTTTTCTAATAAAATTACAAAAAAAAAATTGTTCTTTCATTCAAGTAACTTCTATGTTATAATTAACTATAAACACAAAAAATTATAAAAAATAGGTTATATGAGCATTTTGAGATGTAAAATTGTTAATGATAACATTAACATTAATGTTTTTTAAAAATTCAGTCTCAATCGATAAAATTACAAGATCATTAAACTGTTCTTATGACATTGATGACCTTAATTAGATTTTAATCAACTTTAGCTTTGAAAAAATTCTTTTAGCTGATGCTATAGTCTTTGAGATTGTAGAAAAAAATCTATAAGCGATAAAAATATTTGGATAACAATATGCAAATTTGACAAACTCAAGAACTATTTAATTTTTTAGAAAAATTAAAATTCTCTGTGAGTTTTAATGCTAGAAAGAGTAAAATTTAGGAATTAAATGAAGTTTTGAGTTTAGAGAAGTCAAGAAGTTGACTACGTTTATGGAAGTGAGATGCAAGAAATTGAAGAATCTTTTTTATTTTTCTATTTTTTTCTAACTACAAATTGCAATTAAAAGTTAAAATTATTTTTTCCATGTGAAAGCAAAATATGATTTTTACTTTGGGCCCATTTCAAGTCTGGGCCCTAAGCGATCGCACTTCTAAACTACCCTCAGGATTGGGCCTGAATGTGACATATATGGTCCATAGTTCTTTTATCATTTAGCTACAAGTTGTAATACCTTAATTTAATTTTTGAATAAATAAATTTCACAAAATAGAAATAATAAAATTTTTCATTCAAACGGTTCTTAAAAGTTGTAACACTTAGTCAAAGGCCGAGTCAAGAGAAGAGTGTTTGGCCTGTGGTGCACCCACGCTCACTGTTAGTGTCATCACCACCCTTTCTTCCCTAATGTATTTATACAGCTCCCATCTTTCACACTCCCAGTGTATCGTTGAACCATTCATAGTTTTTCAACATATTCAAACACAATCACACTCAATATGCCATTCACACACATTCTCACCCATTTAATAATATCCAATATCAATCAATAGCATGTCTAAGCATTCCAACCACATTCTCAATCACATCATGATATTCAATTTCACACATTGCACATATGTACACATTCAATCGCATTATACGCAAACACATAATTTTCAACACTTTTTCATCACACAACATTCACTATCCATTATACACTTTTCTCAAACATTAATCATATTATGTTGCATACCACATTTCCATCAAAATTCAATCACAACTAAACTATTCTCATCAAAATACACTTCTTCCTACTTTTTTTCCTAACTACATTACAATACACCTTCAAATAAATAATTTTCAAGTATAATGAGATAGAGTATAGTCCCCCTTTACCTCGGAATGAAGACTCGACATGAAACTCAACAATGGAAATGCTCCCTACACAGATTTCGTCCCTAAAACATGAAAATCTCCCTTAGAACTCAAGAAAATGAAGAAAAGGACGAAGGCGCGAAACCCTAACCTATAAAACTTACCTTTAAATGCTCCAAACGTGATTCCAACCTTCAATCCTACACCCAAATGACTTTGGAAGCAATTTAAACGGTGAAATAAGGTTGAGAGTTGAGAGAATCGAAGAGATTTCGAAGAGAAGAATGAGACATGAACTTTTCAAATCCTAAACCCGTAAAATACCCCTTTGGTCGTGATGTTCTCGCTACAGCGAGACATCTCTTCTCTCGCTGCAGTGACACCCCTCCTCGCTACAGCAAAAATATCAAAGGAAACTGCACTCTAATTCTTGCAAAATCTCGCTGCAGCGAGAGTGCACCTAGAAATGCACTCTCTTCTGTCACCTTCTCGCTACAACGAGAACACAATTAATTGTGTAATGAGTTGAATGTGGATGTATATGATAATATGAATCTATGTGTGAAGACGGGGCTTGTATGAGTATATGAATATGAGTGTATACATATATGTTGGTTGTTGTTGAATTGTAAAATGTTTGAGTATGACTAGAATTGGGTTGAGAATTGGCTAAATATGTGTTGCAGAAGCGTTCTTGCTGTAGCGAGTGGATTCTCGTTGTAGCAAGAGAGCCTTGGGAAGAAGGTGTGAAATTGTCGCCTTCTCGCTATAGTGAGAGATCTCTAGTTGTAGCGAGAAAGCGGTAGTAAATAGTGTATTTCTAGATGCAATCTCGCTGTATCGAGAGGATCTTGCTGTAACGAAATTCTGCAGAAACCAGGATGCAGTTTCATCTGAGATTTTCGCTGTAGCGACGCCCCTTGTCGCTATAGCGAGAGCGTCCCTACCAGAGGGGTATTTGAAAGGGTTAGGGTTTGAGAAATTCATTTTTTCTATTCCTCTCTTCAAAATCTTTTCGATTCTCTTGACGCAAAACCTTATTTCACTGATTAAATTGCCTCCAAAGCTATTCGGGAGCCAGATCAAAGGTTGAGATTGTGTTGGAAATGCTTGGAGGTAAGTTTTAATGGTTAGAGTTTCGGTTTCTCATCCCTATTCTCTGTTTTTTCTGTTTTCCTTGGTTCTCATAGGATTCTTTCATGTACTTACGACGAAATTCGTGTGGAGAGCACCTCCTTAGTTGATTTCGTGTGTGAGTCTTTGATTTGAGGTAAGAGGGGACTCTACCCTATCTCATTTTGCTTGAAAATTTGTTTATAATGTTATTTGTAGAGTTGTGATTGAAATAGCATATAAAAAGGTATGCATTTAGATGAAAATGACTTAATTGTAATAGGGTATAGTGGAAATCTTCTGTGGAACCTAGTAGTATTGGTATTGAATAATGTGTGTGTTGAGAATGGTTTGTTTGTACTTGAAATTATGTTAGAAATGTCATGTGTTGAATGTAACGCATATGAATATGGGCATATGTTTCATGTGTGAAATTGAATGCAAGTTATGATTTAGATTATAGCTAAAATATGTGTGATGGACATGTTAAACGTGGTTGTGAATATATTATGAATGGTTCAGTGATACACGGGAGGTGTGGAAGATGGGGGCGGTAGAAATACTTCTGGGAAGAGAAGGTGGTGGTAGCATTAATAGTGAGTGTGGATGCACCAAAAACCATTCGCTCTCCTCTTGACTCGGCCTCTGACTAACACCTTTGCCAAGGGACTCGTGACCGCACACATTGTATCTGTGAGGCGGGAGTTATCTGCCTACCATTCATGGTGTAAAACTGTGATCACAGTGCCATAGTGAGTGTGGCTAAGTGTAATGATTGCACGTGTGTGTGAAATGTTATTGGTGCAGTGAGCGCACTGGTTGTGAGTTGAAATGGAATGGTTGAAAATTGTTACTTGTGATTGATAATACTTAAGTAGAATATGGCAGAAAATATATGGAATAAGCAAGGTGAAACTCTATGTTTGTTTATGTGTGCGTGATAGTGTAGAGTACTTACCTTTTACATTTATTTTTTAGGTGATCAAGATGATCAGCACCGAGGTCAGTGAAGGAATGAATGATATTGCCATACGACTTAAATTATTTATTTTGAAAATACAATGTAATTGAATTGATCCTGTAACATTGATATGAACTTGTAGTCCTTTATTATTTTGAAATACTTGGATGAAACTATGTGTTGAGAAATTATATTTAAATAAAAATTTTATTATTTATATTTTATAAAATTTATTATTTTGAAATTAAATTTAAGGTGTTACACAGGACCATTTTACTACAGCGAGAACGTCCCTACAGCATATACTCAACCTATTTTATCAATCAATCCAAACCAAACACAAGCAAACATTCTCAATACAGAATCAACATTTACACCCATACTCATATTCACATATTTATACACGTTCACGTCATCACATATATCCACATCATCATATACATCAAATATACATTCAAATAGAACTCCACAATTTATATTAATATATAAAATATCATTACAAAATTTGAGGCATTACACAAGTTATGGAATAAATTATTAGTATTGTTATCTACATAGTTATATCATGATAAAAAAAAATTTAAACTATTCTTTTACTAAGAGTCATTGTAGTCCTTTGTCATGTTGTTCCATTAAAACCAAAGATGTCTTTTTAATATACAATGACAACTGATATGAAGCATTTTGTGTATCTTCTTTATTTGTAGACAACTTCTTAATATATTTATATATGTCTTTCATTACTTAATATTATTTCAATTTTTGTATTGTCATAAAAAATTTGAGGATTAAGATAAATAATATGCAACCTACAATAAATAATAAAACTAACATTCTTATTTTCTATAATTATAACAAAAATATATTTATATTTATGTTCAATTTTTTATGCATCTTGAATACTTTCTTAATCCTTATCAATTGTTTGATATAAGTAACACATTGCATGTTTTTCTCGTTATCAACAAGTTTAAGAACTTGTACAAAAAGTTTCATAACCTTAAGAGTATAAACAATATTACTCTAAAAAGAAGGTATAAACACATTGTTTATTGTCTTTTTTCTTTTAATTTTTTTGGTCAAGTAAATATTTTTTATTTTTATATATATATTCTTTATAAAATAAAAAAATTTTATGACAAATCTTGTCACTCTATTTAAAATTTATAAAATTAATTTCTCTATTCTCTTAATTCTGATTAGTTTTCTAATATTAAGACTAATTTTAAATATTTTAAATTTATTAAAATTATTTTTAATAACTAAAGAGTGTTACTTATATTTATATATATATATATATATATATATATAATATAATAGATTTGTTAAATGTCAACAACATAAAGCAAGATTGACTCACTTATACCAGTGAGCCAGGAAGAAGCTCTTGGGGCCCACACTGTACATGCAAGTAGGAGCTCTTGGGCCCACATTGTACAACCATGGGGGAGCTCTTGGGCCCACATTGCTCATGCAAGAGGAAGCTCCGGGCCCACATTGTACATGCAAGAGGAAGCTCTTGGGCCCACATTGTACATGCAAGCAGACATATGGCTTGGTCAAATAAAGCTTTAAAAGAGACGCAAAGGAAGTAATGTGCCACCTCAGCCTTTTGTGTTGTTCCAGCCATGCAATTGCTTTTGTTCTTTCCCTGATGAATTTGTAGATATCCTTCCACATATGACGACAATTCCTATGTTAAGCTTACAACGTGGTACTATATTTTTTGATTTTCGGAAAAGTGGTTCACAGAATTCATTATCCACACTTCCTCTTCAAAATCACCTCATTTTCTCTATATATACCTAACACCAATAGCAATCACTGACTCACAAATATCCATCATGGCTTCTGCTGCTACCATTTCGCCATCAGAAGCAGAACCACCAAAGGTTCATGCATCCGATATTCCAAGCATCAAAGCCTTTGCTGAATCAAGCGTAGCCTCTCTCATCCCTTCTACTTTCCACTCTATCATAGATCCTCATGATGATGTTGCAAAAGAGCTTGAAGCTTTCATCCCAGTCATTGACTTGTCTCTCCTCACTTCACATGACCCTGAAATCCATGCCAAAGCGGTGCATCAACTCGGCAAGGCATGTGAGGAGTGGAGTTTCTTCATTGTAAGTATCTGTTTCAAAATCTTTTTCTTCCATAGAGAAGTACTATCTATACATAATAAAATTTACTCACTCATTAGTTTCTCAGCTCATAAATCATGGGATTCCCGAGAAAATGATGGAAGAGGTGATGAACAAGTCTATCGAGTTTCATGATTTGCCTGTGGAGGAAAAGGAGGAGTTTAGAGACAAAGGGCCACTCGCAGCCATTAGGCACGGCACCAGCTTCTGGCCTCAATCAGAGAAGGTTCATTTTTGGAGAGATTATCTCAAGGTCTTCACACATCCTGAATTCAACTTCCCCCACAAACCACCAGGTTACAGGTAAGTAAATACTAATACCCCACAAACCAAAACATGCACCACTGTTTCATGGCCTTACAATTTTAAATTCTACAGGGAGATTGTATTTGATTATGGCCAGAAAATCAGAGCTGTGGCATGGAAATTGCTTGAAGGAATATCAGAGAGCTTGGGATTAGAATCCAACTCCTTAATTGAGTCAACAGGTTTTGAGTCTGGCATACAGATTTGTGCTGTGAACATGTATCCAGCATGTCCACAGCCACACCTTTCACTTGGGATGCCTTCACATTCCGATATAGGCTTAATGAACTTCTTGATGGAGAATGGAATTGGAGGGCTTCAGATCAAGCATGATGGCAAGTGGGTCAACGTCAACCCTCCTCCAAACTCCCTAGCTGTCATACTAGGCGATCAACTTGAGGTCACTCGCTTTTTTTTTTCTCTTCAAATTCTTGTACGTATTGGAGTCTAAGGTTCAAGTTTTGGATCTCATGCAACCACTGTTTGTTTCTTTTGTATTAGATTGTGACTAATGGGAAGTATCCTAGTGTCATACACCGAGCAATTCTCAACAACACAAACAATAGGGTGAGTGTTGTGCTGGCGAATGGACCCGCGCTAGAAAAGGAAATTGGGCCACCGCGGAAGCTATTGGAGAAAGAAAAGCCATTGTTCAAAAGTATCACGTTCAAGGACTATTTCCAATTTCAGCAGAAGTCACGTTTAAGTGATAAATATGCTTTGGACGTGATTGGCCTTAATACTTAACAATGATGTTCTATCTATGTGAGCTAGTCCTTTGATCTGGATGGTTGGGAAACTATACCCCCATTTTAAGTATATAAATAATGCTGTGAGTTTGTATGATGCGATAAGTAATGTCAAGTATTTGGTGTGTTTATTGTTGTTTATATGGGATACAATTACCTTTCATCCTGGTAACCGCTAGTGTTTCTAAATTCAAAATGTTAAAAAATAAAAACAAATAGTACAGAAAGATTTCTTACCAAATTTCAGGGACTGATGTGTATGGATTTTAGCGAAAATGAGCATTTCATTCTCACTCGTCATGAATAGTTCCCAGAAATGTATAAAGAAAATACCTTTTGGAAAATGATTTAAATAATGTAAAAAAATAGTTTATCTGTTTAATGTAATTTTTATCATAATCACTCATATCAGGAGTGATATTATTTAAAAATATTAAAAAACCAGAAGTTAATATGTCCTAAAAGAAAAGAAAGTATAAAAATTGTAGTATGTACAAAATTGGTTGTAATTGTCCGCTTCCACTTTATCTGACAACTCTCTTGAATTTTCATGCATTTTTTTGTGCTTATTGGACAAGAGAACGAGGTGTAATCACCCTCAACTGAAAATCAATTCAATGTTATCCAGGTTCGCAGCTATCAAGAAAAGGACTAGCACAAGCAGTTTGTGCAGTCATATATAAAAATATAATTAAACCGTTTGATACATGAACTAAAACACCAACTAAAAGTGTATAGCATTATTATTTTAATTTTTATAAAAAATAAACATAATAATAGATATTTTTATCATTATTAAATATTTTATTATATTAATTATATTATTTTTAAAAATTAAATAACAAATTTTATATAAAATATTCAAAAACATATTCTATGTTAATATGATATGTCAAATTTTTAAAATTAATTTCTAATCAAGATTAATGAATGAGAACTTAAATTATTGAAAAAATCATAATTATAAACAAATAAAATTATTAAAAATAACAAATATTGAAAAGTAATAAAGAATAACCTAAAAAAACCACAGTTATAAATATTTTATTTATTATATATGAGAAGACATTAATAATAATTTATTACCAGCTATTTTTATGTTCAAATACAGTGTAGCAATTTGAAAGTAGTGTATTTTATGTTCTTTTCCTTTCTGTACCATCACGGCAAAGTGCTAACTGCCGATCGATTCCTTGTGCCGTGTATAACTCATTCATTGGTTGCGTATATACTGAAACTATATATAAAAATAAAAATTGTAATGCTGTTAATATATTTTTAATACATTCTTTATTATTAATTAAAATTTATTAAAAATTATTTGAGTCTTATTTTTTCATTTTTAATTAAGATTTTTTTCATACTTTTTTAGTTTTAATAAATTTTAACTAATAATAAAAAAATATAAGAAAATGTGTGTTAGAAAATATATCATTAGCATTCTTCAAAAATAGAAATCACCCACAGATTATTTGACATGTATTAACACAAAAGAGAATTATCTATTTTTAATTATATGATATTTAATTTTCCTTTTTTAATATCGTTAAATAACTTTGCTTCTAAGGCAAGTAATATTGATTAAGTTAAACTCGATGGAACGAGAGTACTTTTAAAAATATTATCAAATAAAAGTGTTTTTAGGATTGTTTTTAGAAAATATTTTTTTATTATGTCAAGTGATTTCTATATTATGTATTTATTTATTATGTTAAAAAGCCTTACAATTTGTATGAATTATTAAAGTTTTTATATAATCATAACGTGTTTAATTTTTATATATTGATGGTCAAATAATTTTATATTATCAATTAATTAAAATATAAATACAGGCATAGCAAAATTCAGGCAACAGTTATTTTTTTACTTAACCCCTTGTTTCAAAATTTCAAAAGGAAAGTTAATAACACATTTTTTATTTTTTATTAAAATTTACTAAAAACTATAAAAGCATAAGAAAAAAATATTAAACTAGGAGTAAGAAAAAGAAAAAACATTCATAATTATAATTTTAATAAAAATTAATTGATAGTTAAGAGTATATTTAAAATAATGTTTTAGAAAATATATTACTAGCATTCCTAAGGTTGAAATGGTTTATCAGTTTAGATAATTAGAAAATAATCAGCACTGGGAAGTTTATTAGAACATGAACCGCTAAAGTACTCAGCAAATATTTCTTTAAAAAATGTGTATAACATGGGCACTTACAGTGACACACTTCCCAACGGAGTTCTGACTGGCTAAAGTCCATAGAAATAGAAGTTAATAATTAATATGCAAGGCCCAATGGACCTCCTAAAGTGCCATTTTTTTTGGGTCTAATGAACTTAGCTGTTGACAAAAACAAAAAGAACTTTATTTTTAACTAGTGCCAATAAATTATAGTATAAATTTTTATACAATAAAATCTTATTAAATAAACACTTTATTAAGTTATTACCTAAAGGCACCTCAAATAATTAATTGCGCGTTAATTTCAGAAATCAAAGTTTATATTTGTTCTAGTTACGGTGCAAGTTGTGAATTTTTATGTATAATTTTAGAAGGTATAGCATTATGTACTTGTTGGCGGGTTATATTTCTCTTTGATTTATAACTTTTTGAGATAAAAGTGACAGAAAATTGTCTAATTAAGAGGATTGGGTGTCAGAGAAGTAGGTAGAAAGAGAAAACCCAAATAAGAGTTTAGGCCATGGAATTGAACAATGGTGGGCTCCTCATTTACGGTTTCAGTCCTTGGTGTACCGTTTACATATAATATTCCAAAGTTTTGACATAGGAAGGCCCTTTTGGACCTTTAACCTTTATGGACCACCCCAAATCACCCTAACCCCCTTCTTGTGAGTAAGGCAAGGACCCAAGTGTGGTTTTGTGGATAAAAGTCTCAAATAAACTACACACCTTAATTCTCGACCATAAAATAAAATTACACTTCGAATGTTAACACTGCTAATTATAAATTTTACATTTATAAAATTTTTAACATATTTTCAACATTTTAGAGTTGTGCAAAAGCAAATTATCATGATATTATTAAACCCCACTACAACCATCCACCTCTGCAGCCAGATCTCCCTCCAGCATGTGTACAGAAAAAATAAAACCAATCACATGCTAGTTTGTCTGGTTAAATTTTTTTTGTTGACCAATTTTCACCTTTCAATATACAAATGAATTGCCATAAAAAATTTACAGATTGTGTCAGACAGAAACCACTTTGCAGCCCGAATACAACGGCTGAAATCTAGGCCTTGGAAAGAAACTGAAGGCGATGTCTAATTACAAGTTAGAACAGCTACATTAATTATTTCAAATTTCATCAACTGTTTGCTAATGCGGCATTGCCCTCTCCGATCAAGTTCAAAATTATGATGGAAATTTTGGACTATATATAGTACAGGTCCTAGATTGTGAACATATCATTAATTATTTCTCACATACGTGTGTGTATGAGTGTATCCGTATACATTTATATTTGAATAAATAGGTCTTAAATTGTTCCACAGAAGTGGGTTTCCATGAAAGTGTGATGATGATTAACAAAGTGGAGGCCAGAAATATGTATCAATCTCGTGACTCAGTGACTACTTTCTCTGGTCCCTCTCTCATACACACTGAAAAGAGTTTTTGTCTGGGACTTTATAATACCGACACACACAATTATTGACCGCCACTACCATCATGTTCGGGACATAAGAACAATACGGAATAGGATGGATCCGTGTTATTGAATATCTAAGCCAAAAGGTGATTCATATTCCCTGTTAGCCACTTATAGCTTGCCCCGTATAAAACTCGTTCTTCTACTTAAAACTTGTGTTATTGAATTATATCGCTGCATGATACATGAATCACCATTCATGTACATGTAGTGGGTCATTTTCCTATGTTTCCAGCTCCCTTTCCTTCTTCTGACAGTCATGGCTTCAATGACAAACAAATTTAATCTGCTAAATGCAAATTGTTAGTTTTTTATTATTTTATATCTTGCTCAGTTTTTTTATTTGTATTCAATAAGATTTTCTTTACTCATATTTCGTCTCAACATAATGATAAATCTCACACAATAATGCAAAATATGAGGAGAGACTCGATAATCAATTTAGTTTAGGTGAACTTTATCATCTCGTATAATTGTTGAATAGTATATTCTTAAACTACGTTAAGCATTTGTGTGTTCTCAATTTAATCTCAAAATATTTCAATTTTCAAGTTAGGATTTTTTTAAAAAGTTAATTAGGTGAATTAGGGTTAATATGTTGTATTTATATTATAAATGGATGAAAATAGTATTATATTAGGTGAATTAGGGTTAATATTTTTATTTTTAACATTATTTCATCGTATATAACATGCTAAAATAAAGTTATCATCTGTCAAAAATATCAAAAAGTGTATAAAATTATATTATATAATAATTAAGTCACTTCAATTCTAGCTTGTAATTCATCTAAGATGATATAAGTAGTCTCCAATGAAAAGTCTTATGTGTATGATAATGATTTTAAGACTTTGTTTAAATTCTATGTTGAGGAAAGGAGTAGTTAGTGATTACTAACTATTGTTTAGAAGTTAATTAAGTATAAAAAAAGGGTTAAGAGATTTTTTAAACCTTTTTAACCTTGTTTGTTTTTAAGTTTTTTATTTTGAGAATTTTAGTGACTTATGGAATGAAGTTTATTATTTATATTTGTATATGTTTGATTAATAATTTAGCATGATCTAGAGTTAGAATAATAAAAAATAAAAAATAACTTTTTTAAAAAAAAATACTAATTTTTAAAATGAGAATTTTTGTAAAAAATCATAAAAATTAAATTTTAAATAAATAAAATAATAATAATATCATTTATATGTCAAATCTTTTGTTACTCTTTCTTTTCAGTGTTACATCCAGGACTCTTGTTTTCTTCCTTTCATTAGTCTTTTAATTTTTTTTTTCATTTTTCTCTAAACTTTTAAATAAAACCTAAATATTTAAACACAAATTTAAATTTAATCCCACGTCATCACACCATCCATACAAATGCCATGCAGGAAAGGTACTTTAACAGATTCTACGAGAAGACTTGCTGCACCTAAAAAGTAAAAGTGAAAGAGTTATATTATTTATATAATTAACATGTTTTATAATA